CGACTGCACTATCTTCCTTTGAGACACTTCCTCCTCCCTCAGTTCCAAGCACTGCCAACTCGGTCTCCATGCTTTTCTCAGCGCCCATCGCATCCGATTTGGCAGGCGGCGGCGACTTTAAACTCTCTTCAGTCAAGCACTCGTTTCTTTTCAGCAGTGTAACTGGTGTCATACGCAATCGTTTTCCCCGTGTTCCGGCATCCTTTTCCAGCAAGGACGCAGACTGAGCAGCTGTAGGCTTAGCGAAAGCTCCTTCTGAAGGCGATGAAGATTTAGCTGCACTCGACGGCCTAGCTCCAAACCAATTTCTTGCGCTTTGCTGATGCCGATCCTCAGCTCTAACTGCGCTCCCTGCGGGGCTGAATCCAACCTGTTCACGCTTGCCAACAGATTTGTGGTCGATCCCGAACTGTGTTTGATCTGCGTAAAGAAATCCTGTTTGCTTGTGCTGCATATTTTCTGCTCCATCAAATCCCAGTTTTTGGTTCGATCGCCTGTTGAATCCTCTTTGCCCGTATTCCGCATTTCTTGAGCCTCTGAACGCAAACTGCCTATGACTGCCGAACATGCCGCTGCTTATCTGTTCAGTGTTTCCTGATGATGCACTGTTGGGAAAACATGAAAACCTCTTCGGAGCATTTGCAAGCGGTAAATGCCTCCACATCCCGCTTAGTAGTGGAGGTCGAAAGCGTCCCCGACAAGTTGTCCTTGAGCCGAAGGCCGGAACAGTTGCTTTGAAGGCGCCACGACCAAAACTGTTTTCTCGAGTAAAATCATCTAATACATCAGCAGAAGAAGCGGCATCGGGTTTACTTGTAGGTGCACCTGCACGCCGTGCCGCGCCTGCTTTACGAGCTCGAAAAGCAAATGCATCTTTAGCTTCCTGAAAGTATTCCATGTTTACTGCAGTCAAATTCAATTCAGCTCATTCAAACAGCCTTCGAAAGAAGGCTCACTGGTAGTCCTGCAAACGAATGGCTGCTGCTTAGTAAAGTAGTATCATTTTTTGGGCTACTCGTGAAACGCTTCGGTTCCTCACGAACAGGGCAATGCAGTAGCTGTTTTAACTTTAACTTCTGTATGTTAATACTGGAAAGAAGATGAGATAAGCTGTCGCTATTACAGTGCGTGCCATTTTCTCCCTGTCTTACAATCAGCTATTCCATTTCTAAACCCAGACTGGAACGCACCAGGCTTGCCGGTGAGATCATGAGTTTTTGCACTAAACTCGCAGGTCGCCAACAGCAGGAATGACCCCTGCGTTGTAGCCTAACAGTTGGGCTCATATTGGCCATACTTTGGCCTCTCCCAGCAAGCCGGAGAAAGGGCGTCGACTGGGATGAATGTGGTGCATCACAGAAACGCATGGACCTTCAGGTAGGTACATGATTGCCAGTTTTTAATGCGTTTTTGCATATATACAAATTGCAAAAACGTATAATGGGAAGAGGCTGTATGCGTGTTCGCACTTTTTGTCACCCACTTTCAACTCGAGAACTAGAGAAGTTAGAAGACTGAAACTCTGGAATTATGTGCCCACATCATGCGTGACCTTCCCGTTTTAATTTCATCCCCTTCGGACGCTCGGGTGCCGCGTGCGGACGCTTTGAAAAAATATGCAAATTTTTTGGTGGAAAAGCGATTTCGGGAACCA